TCCCGATTTAGGGGGAAGTTTCCGATCTACCAATTGTTAATACTCCCATCTGCCGTGGCAATCTTCAAAACTCCAGCAATTCGACATTTGGCACCAAAGTATGTGACATTTGGCAATACCTTTTTTTTCAAGAAAATTTTTATAAAATAAAATTAACGCTTTAAAATGGCATCTATAGTGCTTTTAAAAAACCGGTGCTGACCCTAAGTGAGGTGTGAAGGGGGGAGGGAGCCCCCATTTCCCGCATAGAGGCAGGGCACCCAAAGCAATTTTTGAGTTCCGGCGCCTATGGAAGGCAGTTTCAAATGTAAATGGAGACCATTGCAGAAAATGCATTGATCATGTTAAAAAGGTAGAAAATTTATTTTGGAAAGATGATAGAGTAATAGAAAACTTAATAGACCCTATAATAATAAACCTCAGTAAAATACAATGATAATGATATCAGAAGTTATAGTGAAGAACAGTGACTTTTAAAGATAGCTCCGATACACCATTTTTGGGTCTGACTTCTACATGTAAAATTTTGGTTTCTCCTATGTTACAAATTAAGGAAAAATCATTTTTCTGATCAAAGTTTGTTTTTGTAGAAACTAAATCAATTTTTCGAATTTTCAAGAAAAAATAGTGATTTTTAAATTTTTTTATAATTTTATTTTTAATTAGGCTTAACAAAGTGTTTGTCGAACATCAAAGTCTATTTTTAATTCAAGAATTGTGATAAACAATAGCATATAAATGTAAAATAACGAAAAATCAAGTTCAGAAATGAATATTTTTAGTAGTTCTCTTATGTTTGTATGGGCTTTCATCTATTAAACCCCAACTGTAATATCCCATCATATTCTCGTCATCATATATGAAGTTTATGGGACATTCTGCAGTCCATAATTTTAAAGATTTTAAGCATAATTTCAATCGACTCTTTGATTGTCAGCACTCTTGTTGCCAAGAAAACCATTAACTACTGCTTTAACACTCACCCAGGTTTGTTTTTCATGGGCATTGAGAAATTCTGTGAAATCTTCAGTGCTTATTATTTGTTTTATTTGTGGTCCAACGAAAATGTCCGTTTTTACTTTAGCTTCAGATAATTTGGGAAAAAATCCCTTTAAATATTCATAATTTGGATCCAGAGCCTTTACAAATTGCTTCATTAGGCCCAATTTTATATGTGTAATTTAAGTTTTATGCCTATCAAATTAATAAATACTAATATAGAACATTAATATGTTTGATATTTTTTAAAATTTAAAAATTAAAATTTTAGTGTTTTGCCTTCTAAATTATTTTTGCGATTAACACAGGCAAGGTGATGTACCCATTTTTTATCTTGACTCCAGATTTTGAGGTTAAAATAGGCTTCGTAAGCTTCGCAAAGCTTCAAATTTGTTGGCAAAGCAAAATGTTTTCCTCTTACTTTAACAAATTCACCGTAAATTAAACAGAATAAGACAACATCCTGTTTACACTGTCTTGGTGCCGTTTTCCAAACTTAGTAACACACAAGGGCGGTGTTACAGCTGTGATAGAAAAGTAAATACTACTGTGCCTTTCACAAATAATATGCATTTTGCTATCGAGTTGATCATCTGTTGTTCATAAAATGAATTAATATCTTTAAAACTTACTTATCGACGTAAATCAGACAAAAGCAAACTTTAAAAGCTAAAAATGGAAATTTAAGTGGTTTTGATGTCTAGAAACTGAAAAAAAAAATTTTTTCTGGACTTGTGTAGTTCTTGAACTTTTTATTTTTTATAATCATTGATTTTAGGTACTGAAGTATTACTTTTAATACCAAGAGATTAAAAAACAATTATAATCATCCATGATATTTATTGGTTAAATTTAATTCCTTTAATGTTAAAGTGCAACAATCTTGTCAGAATCATAAGGTATATTTTTATTTTTCATTCAAAATTTAATCTACGAAGTGCATATGTATAATTTAATATGCCATGGCCTTATTTATATTATAAAAACTTATTTTGCAAAGTACGTCTATAGAATGTGAAGTTATATCCCCACTTTTACTGCACTCCTCTTTTATTCAGACTATATACAACTTACATGATCGTACAACGTCTATCATAAACTGTGACGTCAGGATCATCAACTTATATAGCTCCTTTAAACCTTCTCGAAACTTCTCGAACTGTACAGATGTTTCTTGGCATGACTGACATTTCTAGACTTTCTCTCCTCTTCTTTTATTCGTACTTTTACCTTTGAGGGCCGCAGCACACTATTGGGTGATGGGTAACATTTCACTTCTTCTTTTATTCGTACGATTTCTATAACAGCCAGAGGCTACTGCATGGAGCAAGGTAATAATATCAGGGAGGCTGCTTTGATGACAGGTCCAGTGACCCAGATGGCCATTTCATCTACCCCGATAACCATCATGTAGATATCGTTTTACTGTACCTTAATGCAGGAGAATCATTATGTTGAAACTTTATTTTTAAGTTACTAAATTCATCTGGATTGTTTAAAATGCGTTACGATTTATGCAAATGGTTTCCACATTTACCGAGTATTAAGATATCTGTTAGTTAGTTTGTCTGCTGAGCATGTACCATTTTGCTTATGTGTAGCCACTTAAAGGTCTTTTAAACAAAAATTAAGAGCCAATACGCACGGCGCTGGCGCGCCTATCAACAAAAGATTTAAATTAATAACTTTATAATAACTTATGGCACTTAGGCCGCACTAGGCCCATTGTGCATCCTAAAATGAGTCCTTTTTAGCTCGTCAGCCAGCCTACAGATTAGGATTTAGGGTAATTTTGATGAATAAGCTAAATAAACACGAAAATTATATATTCTATTTTAAATAACAAAGATTTAAAAGTCGACCTCTGGTTAATTGTCAAAAAAGTAGACTCTTTTTTAATCTACCTACGTTTTTTCAGGTCTTTATACCTCAAATTGTTAGTTTAAGAAGCAATAACTTATGGTGATTACAGCACCCCCTTATAATTTTCGGACAAGGATATCTCAAAAAGTTATTTTTTTTTTAAATTTAAATTTTGGCAAAATAAATGAGGTAATAATATCTAAAATATACATATTTTTTAAAGTTTTAATTTGTTCCAGTTTCCGAGAAAAAAAAATCAAAGGGCTTTAAATTTTTAAATACCATAATAAAAATAAATGCATTTCTCAACAGCACTATTCTAAATATAATTTCGAAATTTGAGCTCTTAATGTCTCGTTAATGATTTTTTAAAATTCTCCAAAATTAGTGGCTAAAACGCCTCGTTAAGTGCTGCCTTCTGTTGTAACACGACTGTAACAACCGTATCGTACACTCTCAGTCATCATTCGTTTCCTGAAATGATTTAAACCAGTTTACATTAGTTTACACCAGTTTACACCAGTTTACACCAGTTTACACCAATTTACACCAGTTTACACCTTAAGATAGCACTTAACGAGGCGTTTTAGCCACTAAATTCGGCGAATTTTAAAAAATCATTAACAAGACATTAAGAGCTTAAATTCATGGATTATATTAAGAATAGTGATGTTGAGAAATGCATTTATTTTCATCACGATATTTTAAAATTTGAAGCCCTTTGATTTTTTTCTCGGGAACTGGAAGAAAATAAAACTTCAAAAAATATACATATTCTAGATATTATTGCCTTATTTATTTTGCCAAAATTTAAATATTTTAAAAAAATTTCTTTTTGAGATATAAATTATAAGGGAGTAATTTGTAATTTGTAATCACCTTAATAACTTTTAATATAATATTTTAGGCTCAATTACTAATATTGCTTCCTTAGTAATCTAGTCAAATATAAATATAAAATATACTGATTTATTCAGAATTATCGAAATTTTCTACTTTGGAAAATTTTTCATCTTTGCTTATGGTACAGTTTTAACCAAATTTTAGTGGGGGAAGGTTCCACGTGCTTAGTAAGAGGCTATGCATATTTTTTTGATAATAATTTTTAATTTCTCCCAATTATGCCACTACCAAAATTTGGTTAAACTTGTATAATCCAACCAAAAATACTTTTTAAACGAGGTGTCACTTGCCATAAGGTCCAATTTAAAAATATTAGTCACAGTGGGTATGTGGCGTTATTTATAACTATTATGTCACCTGTTAAGCTTAAGTAGAGAAGCTAACAATTGTTTATTTTGTGTGTACTTCCACACATCCACACATGCATAAAAATTCAGAACGTTTTCATCGATTTATTGTTAAATTTATTGTAAAAAAATCAAAAAGGACCGCTTTAATTAAAAAATAAGTACATAATAAATTTTAATTTGGTGTATGAAAAGTGACAATGCCCCTCTACTCCCCCTCTTTTACTTCACACGTGGATTCAACCAATATCTTCCGCCAACTTGGAGCAGTGTATAGTTTGTATAGCAGGAGCAGACGTTGGAAAGGCTTTTCGTAGTTAGAGAGAGGGTAAACGTCAAACCATGTCGGACGACTTCCAGAAATTTGCGGTAATGTATATATGCCAGTGTCGCATTCATAGAATAAGTAATTTTAATTTGCTACCGGTGGAACCGGACAATCGCATGTATTTATATACTAAAAATAATTATTAAACAAGTATTATAATATCTCAAATCATAATGCTACAAAATTTCAACAGCTATTCAGAATTTGTTAAACTATTTACCCGAAATAGTTATTAACATCAATAAAATAATTTTGTGCGCCATTGTATCGCGTCCACTTCGGTTAGCTCCGCCGCAAAACTATCAATTTCTATGAAATGGCATACCGCGAAAAGACTTTCCAACTTCTATCCCTGTTATATATGCGTCTGTATACATTTGTTTTTATGATTACTTGTAGACCTGATGATAACCTAAGACCGAAATCGGTTATCAAGTAATTTTGTATGGATAAAAAAATGTTTTATGTTAAATAAATGACCACATTAGAGCAGTTGGATACCCTTTTTCAGTTAATAATATAATAACTCGGTTATAATAAACATTAGGTACTAATCTCACCTTTAGGTATTCAGCAGAAAGGTGTGCCCCCTTACGTAGATCGACTTCTATAATATTCAGATCTAGGCCGATGGCCTTAGTGCACATATCCACCGATCTGGCCGCTGGGCTAGCACTCATGTAATACAGATTTGGGGCCATTTTCTTTGCACTGTCTACTGTGTACTAACTTACGAATTATACTACGGACTGTGTGAATGTTTATTCGAGTACATGATTAAATATTTGTTGGCTAGAAGTACCTACCAAGGTTGTTTGATAGACAACAACCGATTGAGAGCAGGGATTAAAAGTAAGTTAAGTTACTCTTATTTATTTTTTTTTTAATTATTTCGGAAGCATAGATTCCGTAGGAAACTAAAATCTTAAAATTATTAAAAATATTCGAGACATTTACCCCATAAGTATGCCCGTGTATAAAAATTTGGATCCTTAAGCACCCACATAAAAATATTTAATCCCTTTAACCCGTAAGTTTATCTAGGTCAAAATATTTGGTCCCTATACACTGTACGCCTTTCCATGGAAAAATATGTGGCTCGCATTTGTAAAAATATTTGGGATCATTACTCCTTAAGCCAGCTCATATAAAAATAATATTTAGGCCCTTTACCTCTTCATTCTAATATCAAATTTAGTACTGTATGTTATTCGAACAAGATCCACATTTATTTAATATGTTAAAACTATTATTTTCTTTTATCTTTTACATCATTTTTACTATTTTAATCTAATACATGTCAAAGATTCAAATATCCTACTCAAATCGCTAATAGTATAGGAGCCCACTGCAAAATATTGGGTCGATCACTAGTATGACGTGTGTCTTTTTATCTAACTGTTGCAGCAACATTAGCATCGGTGCGGTATCTACCTGTCTTTTTTTCATCAATCTATCAATGATGAACTAACAGCACTGTCTTTTTATCCAACGTTGCTGCAATCGATGCAACACTAATCCATCATTTCAATGTATGGTTTTTCCGATTAGATGTGACAACTGACAGCTGAATTGCAAGAATTAAGCAGATTTAAGGAGTTAATTAATTATTTAATTGTTCTATTGTGGGAAAACCCGAAAAAAATGGGCTTTTAAAAATACATTTTTTCAAATTAAGGTAAATACCGAGCTAGCACAAAAACATCCCATCTACGTTAATAAGCTGCAATTTTAGGCTCTTTAAGCTCGCATGCAATGTACTTTTAATATAACCCTATCTAATATCCATATGCAACTCCGAATGTCCGCAACGGGAAGACTTTTATAGCACATCGCATAGATGTTACAAAGTGAAATTCGGAAAACATCACACTAGCACTTTTACGGTACTTTCCCCGAAAGTTGCTCTTAAAAGTTTTATCGATATTATATAATGTGAAATCATTCTACAGCATTATACAGTGTGTCCACGGATGGACTTAACAATACTTATAAAAGTATTTATTTTAAATTTTAAAAAAGTACTTCTTCATAATTTCTTTTGATTGTTAAATAAATTCGATTAACGTTGAGAAATTATAAAAAAATACTTTTTTGAAAAATTTTAAATAAATATTTTTAGAAATATAGTTATGTTTTATCCTTAGATACACTATATGTAAAATAGTATATTGAGGATATAGTAAAATCTGAATAAAACAAAATAAAAAAATTGTATAAATTTATTATTAAAAAACTTTTGACAACAATTACCATATAAGTAGAGGTAGGTATTAATAAAATAGGTATATCACAATTTGTATAAATGAAACAATATTTTCAAAAGTGGTGTAGCTCAGTGCTACACTTTCGATGTAAAGGAAAAGACCTAATATTACGTTTTTCACGCATATTTGAACAAACCTTATATTATCCTAGGTGACCCTGACCACACTCACAACATAGCGATAGGATACTTGCTTCTAAGTATACAGGGTGTGCCAATAAAAACTCCTAGACCGGATATTTTGCTAATTAGTAGAGATATTTTAATTCTGTTAAAGCCAGTTCATAGAGCGCTAAGAGAACTTCAATTTTAGATATAAATTAGTTTTAAATAGGTCAATATGTAGATGGCGCTGCGCTCAATATTTTTCGATTGGAGGATCTTTCTTATATAACGCATCTTGTAAAAAATGCATTTTTAACTAGATTTTGTTCTATTAACTAATTCGATAAATCTAGCCATTTTTGATATACAGAGTGGGTCACTCAAAACAGTTTTATCCTGTTTTTCAGCATTAATCATTGAATTTTAAGAAAATGCTAAAACAGGTCGATTTTTATTCCAAATTAAAAACATTTTTACAATACAGACAACCCCCTCCCTTGCACTTCTCCACCTTAATTTTAAATAGGTAATGTACCATGTATGGCACATCATTGAAAAGGTAATTTAATGGAGAATTCAGAAATATTTCTGTATATTGCGTTTCTTAAATTTTATCGCACTCTAGCGGGATAAAAAACTACTACGTATTATAGTGTGACAGAGAGAAGCTGTTGACTCTAATGGAGTTGACCCTCGTACCGTAAGGCATCAGGTTTTTGTTACCCGCTATCTAGAAAAACCGCGGCCAATTGAACCCATCCCAACTTCCACACTCCTAAAAATTAGCGGGGGCCGAATCCTGGTGCTCTTTATTTATTTATTACAATTTACATTTTTACATCCTTACATTTTCCTTATACTTAGGTGGTAGAACAGCTGGTTAAAAATAAAATAAAATTGTTGACAATGCTTGAAAATGTTATAAAATTAAAAAACAATTCGATTAGTTTAACAGTATTGGTTATTTACAATGTTTATGGTATGGTAGAGAAACTCGCAGGTTTCCTTGTGGGCGGAGAACCTGAAGAAACTTTGTTTTTACCTTGTGGTGTTAGTCCCCAGTGTCGTCGTCTTCTATTATTTCCCCTGCCCATTCGTTTAACCAGTGGGCCAGATCATTGTCCGTGAGGTCTATGTCCGTTGGTAAGTAGTCTAGTCCTCTGTCAGTTAGTCTGTGTCTGAGTAATGATCTGGCCGCTTGTCTTTTGTCACTAGTGCAGTCGTAAGTTATATGTTTCGCGTCTTCTGTCACGTCGTCTATGTGGCAGGTACCGTCTGTGTCTTGTAGGTTGAATCTTTGAAGGTATGCATTCATGTTTCCGTGTCCTGTCAGTATTTGTATGGTTTTTCTTGTTAGTTTCAGTTGTTTATGTCTGTCTGTTTTTATATTGTCGTAAGTGGTGCGTCCTGTTTGTCCGTTGTCCCATGTGTCCTGCCATATAGCCATTGTCTTGTCGTGTCTTGTTTTTCGTATCGTTGTTTTGTCGCTGTAGTGTATTGGCTCTGTCGGATGTATATGAGCTTCATTCGCTAGTCTATGTGCTTTTTAAGCCTAGGGTATTACGGTTGGTATGTATGTAGCTGATACTTGTGTTTTGTTGTGCCGCTATATATGTATATTTTTGTATTTGAGTAATTAGTCTGTGTCTTGTGTTTGTTTTCTTTAGAGCGTCTATAGTATTTGTCGAGTCTGTACAAATTTGTATGTTTTATGTTCTGCAGGTGTCTATGTTGTTTGCAATGTATTTTACCGTTTGTGCAACTGCCAGCATTTCGAGTGTGTTTATGTCTTTGTCTGTATCTACTTTTGTCCTGATGTCTGTGTGTGTGTGTGTGTGTGTGTGTGTGTGTGTGTGTGTGTGTGTGTGTGTGTGTGTGTGTGTGCGTGTGCGTGTGCGTGTGCGTGTGCGTGTGCGTGTGCGTGTGCGTGTGCGTGTGCGTGTGCGTGTGCGTGTGCGTGTGCGTGTGCGTGTGCGTGTGCGTGTGCGTGTGCGTGTGCGTGTGCGTGTGCGTGTGCGTGTGCGTGTGCGTGTGCGTGTGCGTGTGCGTGTGCGTGTGCGTGTGCGTGTGCGTGTGTGTGTGTGTGTGGTCCTTTTGAATTGTTGTCGCGATTGTTTTCGAGTTTCCTCTAATGCTGGCGTCTGTGTGTATCAGTGTGTCTATGGTGTGGCCGTTGTGTCCTATTTGTAAATGTCTGTATGCCGATGGGCCTTGTCTATGGTTTTGATTCTATTGTTGTCTATTGCGTCGTGTAGTGTCGTGTACGTAAAGTGGCTGGCTCCTGCATCTGCTGCCAGTGGTGTGACTCCTGCTAGTATTGGTAATGTTATGTTGGGTGTCGTCCTGTAGGCTTTTGTGATACGTAGCAGGAATTGTCTTTCTGTCGCGTGTAAGTGTCTGGTTATTCTGGTGTCTCTGTGTCTTTGTCCCCACACCTCCGATTATAGCGTAAAGTTTGTTCGCGATTTCTGTCGTTTTTTGTCTTGTCCGTTTTATGTGTTCTATGTATGTCAGTTTTGTGTCGATTGTGAGTCCCAAATAGGTTACGTGTTCTTTCAATTCTAAATTTTGTGTCCCGTTTTTGAGTCTTGGTAGTCTTGTATTGTTATTGTATGGTATGAACATGATTTCTGTCTTTGACGTGTTGTAAATTAATTTATTTTGTGTGGCCCAGCCTACGCATTTTTCCCATGTCGTTTGCCATTTTAATTCCAATTGTCTTAGTGATGTTCCCCCTTAGAATAATAATCTGATCGTCTGCGTAGGCTTGGTATAGGTCAATGTCTGTCGTTATTGTCTCTGTCGTGTCGAACCAGTCTTCCATAATAAGGAGCCATAATATGGAACCTAGACTGGAGCCTTGAGGGCAACCTCTGTTTGTTTCGTCCGTTATGTCCTTTGTACGTATTTGTCTGTCTGTCAGAAAGTTTATACATGTTGTTGCCAGTCTGTATGGAATGTTTCGTCTCTGTAGCATTTCTGCGATTTTTGGCGTCCAGGCTGTGTTAAAAGCGTTCTTTAGGTCGAGTGTGATTGCCAGTGTGAGTCTTTTGTCTTTAATGTTGTTTTTGATTTTATTTGTTACGTTTGTAATGGCGTCTACTGTGGTTCTGCCTTCCCTGAAGCCGTATTGTCTGTCGTTTAGTCCGTTTGTCGTTTCAAGGTAGTATGTAAGTCGTCTTGCCAGTATTTTGTCGAGTACTTTTCCCATTGTTGGTAGAAGGCAGATTGGTCTTCGTCCCCCGTCTTTCTTTTTCAGCCACACCATGTCGGCTTCCTTCCATGTCTTAGGGAAGGTCGCGTTTGTCCAGCAGTTATTGTATAGTTTGTATAGTATGTCTGGGTTCATGTCGTTGATTTGTTCTAGTGCCTCTTTGTTTA